AATAAAAATAAAACATCGTTTAAAGATTTGATAGATCATTAAGGACGAAATTTATATATAAGCTTTCATGTTAATATAGTTACAAAGTCAATAAGTGCTTATGTTACAAGTATACGAGCCATTACAGATTATATTTGAATTTACTTTTTAAATCATTAATCGTGAATGTAATTAAATATAAATTTTATCTTATAGTTATTAATACATATATTTTATGTACCGTATATGTATATATATATATATATATATATATATATATATATATATATATATACATAGACAATACATATATTGATACTTGTAACATTTAAAGAAATATAATGTGCACTTGTGTTTCATGATAAATGTTTAAAAGTATAGAGTCCCATAATATAAATTATTGTGGCTGAGCTTACAGCAGACTTGGGCTTGGGGGTGAGAATCGTAGTGCACCAGAGAAGTGGTGACGAATATAGCTCCACCCTCTGTTCCACCTGCACCTGGATTAGTATGTTATATTCCCAGTTAACAATTAAATGCACTGACAGGCAATCATTGGCAATTATGACATTCACACTCTGCTAATTCATAAATATTATTTTCACTAGAAATTCGCGTTTAATTACTATATTAAATTATTAATTTCTTCCTGTAGTAAACTTAATATGTTATTGAATTGCATAGAAAAAGCTTAGAGAAATTCATTGTTTTTAATATAGGTTATATATCTTATAGTTATTGCTATAGTATATAACACGCACAATAATAGAAACGACAGTTGTGAATATTACAATGATTTACATCTTAACTTTGTTACAGGAAAACTCTGCTTTCTCGTTTACTTATATGTAAATAGAGAAAAACTCATTATAACAGTCACATTTTACAAAAGATATATACTTACCGATACTAGAAACTGATTCAGAATGTTGCAAATTAACTTTTTCAGGCATTTCTATATATTTGTTATTATGTATAGTGGCTTCATTTTCAGAATCCATTTCTGACAATTCATTTGTTTCTATAACTAATGTACTCGCGCATGTAGGACACTTTAATTGTTTAATACCTGAAAGAGATACAGTTTCTATTATTTTTATAACTCTGTCTTAAAAAACTTTCCATGTTATTATAATAATGACAGACCAGTTGCAGATGTATAAGTAATAACTTCATATTCTTCATCATGGGAGAAATGCGTGGAACATTTCATACATTTATAAACTTTTAATAATATAGGGTGTGCATTCTTCTTCTCATTGATCGTTGACACAATTTTCTGTTAAGAGGGTGAGAGAGGAAAAAAAAAGAAAAAAAAAAAAGAAAAGAAAAACCATTACCAATATAAATATTAAAATATAAATGCTTCAGAACGAATAATTAATTGTGCGAGATAATGCTTACCTTTGCATCCTGTAATTCTATAAAATATCTTCTATTTTGTTTATCTTTACGTTTAGTATCAAATATAATGTCCACTGTAGTTGTTTCACCTCTTCCTAATACACACGACAGAATAGAAGCATTTGACCAAGAATATTTTACTTTTCCAGTTATAGTATCTCTTTCTTTAATATCGCTGCAATTTAATTTAATAAATGTCAAATGAAACGCATTTATATATGCATAAATGTAATTTATAAAAACAATAAAATGAAATACTTACTCGGATGTTAACTCTAAAAATAATTCTTCCATTTCATTTGAGTTTTTCCTATTTTGTACTAAATACAGATCATCCTTCTCTACACATAAAATGATGAGCGCGTTATTATTTGAAATAATTAAAAATAACAAATACACACATTAAAAATAATACCTAATTCAAGATCGAACAAAGCATCAGCAGGATTTTCAAGAGTAGTTGTCAATTCACTATTCGGTACTTCGTTATCATGTATCTCTTCTATTTTATCAACATTTCCATTATCTTTACAATTTACACCAATATGATTTATTACATTTTCTGAATTTGTATAATCCAAATCTTTATTTTCTATCGAAGATATTAAATCACGATTGTCTTCGAATGATATTAAATTTGTATCGTCGTGATATTTAATCGTAGATGATGATTGTAGACCCATAATATCTTGAACAAAGGTTCCAGCTTGACTGGTTAGCCAATGTACTTCGCCAAATTTCTCTCGTAATGCCAACATTTGTTTTTTTGTCTCTAAGTGTTCCATTGATGTTTACAAAAAAAAAAAGATCGATATATTATACAAGTAGTGATATGATAGTTTAAATATACATTTGGTTTAATTTAATATTTTTACCTAAATGTGAAGAGGATAATATATCTGATTTATTTATTGAATCTTTTCTTTCATAGTCTTCTTCTGCGATAATAGCTTCCTTTATGTTTGTCTTCTTTTTACTTTTTATGAAATTTTTTTCCGCTCTAGCACTTATATCTGAACCCTGATTTTTGATTGGATAATTTTTGGAAATAGAAGAGTCAAAAGATGAAAATGTATTATCGGAAGTAGCTGAATTTGACAAAGAAGCAAAGTTTTCTCTAGATACACTGGACTGCATGTTTCTAATAGGAAAAACACGATTGTCTCCTACAAGCATTCTTTCCGATTTTGACAAAGGCCAATGATCTAAAACAAACTATAACGAAGATCGAGTTATTTGTAACTATTGCATGAATAACTAATATATTTACATGTAATAATATTTTCATAAATCTTTAAAAACTTACCTTATTATCAATTAAATATGGATGAAAATGTTTTATGGATAATAATCTATGTTTTGGATGATATGACAACGGATTTCCTTCTAAAGATATCCATAACAATGCTGACATTCTTTCAATAGGCCACAAGACAGAATGTTCTGTTAAGCAGTTAAATGATAAATCTATCTCAGTTAAACATTCCAATCCTTGTAAACCTACAGAAAAGAAATTAAAAAATAAAAAATAATTAAAATTTTTTATTTTTATAATTCAAGTTGCATATAAAATTAATATAAAAATGGACTAAACATACCACTGATGTCTTCAATGTAATTATTTTTTAAAACTAATATTTGAAGAGAATGTATTGCAGATTTATTAAAGGCAGGAACCATTTCCAATTTGTTGTATCCAAGATTTACATATTTTAGATTAGGCAAACAATTAAGCTCCGCCGCATTTGTTAACAAATTATGACTCAAATCTAATATTTGTAGCCACGGTGTTAGTTCAAAAGATCTGTCTAATTTTTCAAGAGCATTATGAGATAATGATAAGTGTCTTAAAGAACCCCATACAAATCCTGCTCCAGCATCGCCGCCACATGTCACTGCAAAAAAAAATAGCACCATAGTTAATCATAAAAAGGAATTATGTAATAAACGTTAATATAAATAACAATATAATACCTAATAATTGTGCTACATTAGTAACACCTTGTCTTCCAGCACATGTAATACTTTCTAACTGGCCTCTAATCCCTTGTATTCCTTTAACTAATGCAATACAAACTTTTTTGAACTCCAGATATTTTAAACATCTAAATTTGGTAATATCAATATGAACTTTGGCATTGCCTGAGTAATGAGTCAGCTTTAGACCAACTGTCTTTTGAACAAAGTCATGTAAAAATTTCAGATCTCTAAATAAGTCTATTTTGGAACTATTGCAAACTTGAAAGGAAGATTCTAAGTCTTCCGCATCATCCACAATCAATGAAAATGCTTCATTTAAGTTGTAAAGTAGTGCAGTTGATAAGGATAGTTTGCTCGATGCACTTAAAACTTTATCACCATTTTGACGAAGAAGTCTCACCAAATCCATTATATCTGGTGTATTGGACAGACGTTGTAGACCACTCGTTGATTCTGACATTTTGCTAATTTTCTAAAGTTGATTATTATTTATTTTCTACAGAATTTTATTCAGATTTAAAATAGAATAGAGGATCTTATTTGTTTATATCACGTATCTTCAAAATTGACGATTATAAAACATCGACTTGATACTTGCATCGCGAGGTAAATTAGTACTCTCCTGAACTATTTCCTGTAAAAAGAAACATTATTTTCATTATCTAGCGTGTATCTGTAAGTAAAATATTCACCATAATAAGACGTATAATAAAAAGATAAAAATGTACGCGATATTGTTTTCCCAATCATCGTCGTTATATAAGCGCGCAATGCGTTTAGAATATATATGTACGATGGTTAGAAATATTTTTTTTTTGTTGAATGCAATAAAACATAAAATAATTGATGCTTTTTGTAGACATCATGGTTATGGAAGGTTTATGAACTTGTACTCTCTGTTTATAAAAGTCAATCAATTATTATGATCGAATTATTTTTTTATGATCATACATAAAAATACTTTTTAACAACTTATTACCGTAACAACAATCATCAAGATTATGGAAGATTAACGACAGAAATCAAGAGAAATTATCTAATGTAAGTAATACTATTGCTACATTAGTTTGAGAGATTAGATATAACAAATATAAAGAAAAGAGGGCGCGCGCTATAAGAATGTTACAAAAGAACACCATTTTTTAAACTCCCTTTAACTTGTATTTGTAATTTGTATTTTGTTAAATATATTTTTTCAGGAAATTTATTTGGACAATAAATTGGAAGAAACATTAATCGCACATTAGATATTCTATGAATTGATTTTGTTTAAAATTCGAATTCTAAAATCGACGTATAAATAGTCATTTTTCAAAGAGTATAAAAATTTCAAGGTAAATTAGAAATGTACTTAATCGACTTTTTCTTTGTTGTCGTTGTCATTGTTAGTATAGTTAATTAAACGATCGAAAAAATATACAGATGAATTCACTAATAAATCATTAACTAACTTTTAACATGAAAAATCTAAATCTTTATGCGCGCGTTTTCTTTTATCTTAATTTAAATTTCCCGCCAATTGAAGAATATAATATAAAAAATAAGAATATTGGGGCTTGAAATTGTTCATCAAATAAGGATTTGATATTTTTGAACAAAAATAATTCCTCTTCACCAACGTCCGCGAAAATAAAATTTTAATTATTCTGTTGATACACTAATATTTAAATATAATTCGAAATATTCTCTCTCTTTTCATTATTTCAACTTTTGTTATATCTATATGAGAAATAAAGGAGCGAAAATATGGTATATTTCGTTCTGAATGACTTTTGCAAGCAAGTATCCCATCTGGTTTAACATTGCATTTTTAGTCGGACATTTTCTTCATAAGCCGTCTTGTAATTGTCGTTTTTATTCTTTGCTAGTTGAAAGGATAAAGGTTATTTGTACAAAGAAATGGCACAAACGACAGATATATTTGTTGAGCCACATTATGAAGACGTGATATTACGTTTAACTACGCTTCTAAAGGAAAATTGTGACAAAGCAATCGCACGCGATGATATTTTCAAAATTGGATTATCAGGTGATTAATATACTTCAATTCGTAAACCGTTTTTAGTAATCAAAAAAATTCGGCTCTCTCTCTCTCCCCCCCTCCCGAGATTCTGTTTAATAGCATAATTCTTCATATTTCTTAGATTAAATACATTTACTATTATTTATCATTCAGATTGCTTTTGTATTTAACGTAGTTAGATTATATAGCGTAAAGGTTTTTTAATGTAATGTTACAATTATAAATATGTTTATGTCATAACAAAAAATAACATATTAACTTATCTATATGATTATAAATTGATAACCATGATTCATTAGCAACAATTCTATAAATATGTTATTTTCTTAAAATGTTACTTTACAATTTTTAGGAGGATCTCTTGTAAATATATTAATGCAAACTTTATCCAATATATCGACCGATTGGAGCAAATGGCGTTTCTTTTTTTGCGATGAAAGAGTCGTTCCTTTTGATAATGAAGAATCGACTTACGGATTATATAAAACGAGTCTTATTGGAACAGTTCCTATAACCGAAAACCAATTTATCAAAATTGATCCAGAACTTTCAGGTATTTATTAACATTTTTTTATTCCTTTTTGTATCCATATTTATATTTATAATTTGTTTGGATATCTGAGAAAAGTTTCATTATTCTACTAAATTTACTTCTCATAGCCGAAGAAGCTGCACGGGATTACATAAAAAAAATGTCTGTCTATTTTCCACCTGATAGTTTACCAAAATTTGATGTATTATTATTGGGATTGGGACCAGATGGACACACATGTTCTTTGTTTCCTAATCACAAACTTCTAGATGAAACAAGTTTGTGGGTTTGTCCTATTAACGATTCTCCTAAACCTCCATTGTCTAGGATTACATTTACATTTCCTGTTATTAACAATGCTAGAGTGTGTATTTTTGCTGTATTAGGATCCAGCAAAGCTAAGATAATTAAGGTAAATATATCAAAGGAAGTCTTTCTTAAATTTTCTTCTAATAAAATTATATTTTCCTACCAATTCCATTAACTTTTATTATTTTTTATTTTTGTTATCAATTCATTTAATTGCAGAGAATTCTAAAAGATCATGAAAACTTGCCGGCTGCTAGAGTTGAGCCAACTAATGGTTCTTTATATTGGATTTTAGATCAAGATGCGGCTAAACTTATGAACTCAAATTCAGATTAAGATAATTAATAAGATATTGATTTAAGTGTTTGTGACATTCCATGTTGTATTTTTTCTTAATGCTCGTGATGCTCTGTAACATTTTTTGAGCTTTTTATTTTGTATACGCATACAATTATCATAAAATAAGATCTGATTAGATAAAAAATTTACAATTAAATTGTTAATAATTCAAAATGGCCAATGTTAATTTTTATTTGTTTTACATAATATGTCTTTTTTATTTTTCATTGAAACTGTTACATTATTGATATGTTAAATTTAATTATTTCACTAATATGAAATGCATATAAAAATTATATTCTTAGATCAATCTTATGCTCAATTATTAGTTTCTGTCTTCAAAAAGATTAATTGCATATTTTATAGCTAAAAATGGAAAGAAAGAAAAAGAAAAAGAAAAACCAAAATAGCTATTATCAGTTTTAGGGGACATTAAATTTTAGGAAACATATGTTCTTTGTTGTATGTTATACTTGATATATTTTTCAAAAAGATACGTACAGTGCATATTTCTGCATTGTAATAAAAAGATTGTTATATTTTACATCTAAGGTAGATTACATGTGGAGTTGCCTTATACATCGAGGCTTAGGATATAATGAACATATATGAATGTGAATTAAAAATGAAGAATCTAGTCTGCACTGTCTATCTATTTTATTATCCATTTTATATATTAAGATTAGCGGCCTTTGAAAACGAAGGATTTTATGCAACTTATTAAAATTTTTTTACAAAATTTATTTCTCATGGAAATATATATGTATATAAATATATACTCTTTACATATGATGCATAAGTTATCGTAATCAAAAAAAATATCAATATAAATAAAATTGATATAAAAAATCAGGCTATTTGTGTTCAATTAAAAATTATAAATATTATATACTAACGAGTCTCCCTAATTCTTACCTATAATTATTCTCATTACATTTCAATTGGAGTTTTAACAAAGATTAAATTCCTCCACTTAATCTTGTATTCAAATAGATTTAGGATTTCTGTTACTAAAATTATGTGAAAATGATATGAAACTACTTTTGCTTTATAACAAAGTTGTTGTTAATTGTAACATTTGTAATAATAATCAGGTATTACTTGGATACAAAATTAAGTAGAATATATGAAAGGTACTGAGGTAAACAGTATTATATTTGATTTAAAGATCACAAATAATATTCTTTGGTAAATTACGTATATACATATGTAGTTTGTACATACGATAATTTTTAACTAGCAGAATTTATACACATGTATATATCTCTGCATATTTATAAAAAGAATAGCCTGATCTAATGTACATTACATCCTAATTATATATATCTATATTTATATATATATATATATATATATATATATATATATATATTTATATATATATATAAATATAAATATTATATATATATAATATTTATGTATGACACTTGCCGTAAATCAAATATTTTATAAACGGACTATTTAGGAACCAAAGTTTTGTAATAATTTGTAAATTATATTTATTTTTACAAAATAGTTATTCTTGTATACATAAATAGAATGGCATAAGTAAAAAAGAAAAAAAAAAAAGAAAAAAAACATCCTTCAGAAACAATAAGAAATCAATTTCATTATATTAAAAAAACATGTATGCACATTTAAAAGCATCAAAATTCTCTGCATCATATTTTAGAATGGTTCTTCTTCTTAATTTGTTGATGGTTGCTTTTCAATTAATTAAATCGTCATTAATTAATAATTAATTTAAAATAATTAAATTTTGTTTAAAAATAACATTCTCACAAGTGATTGTAGTGTTAACGCTACAGCCTGTATTCAAAATAAAACGGGCTAATAATTTTAAGCATATCTGTTATTTACATTATTTTCCGTACATGAAACTAATATCGGTTCTTTGCATAAAAATTTTTTTTTAAACATATTTACGTAAAGTTCACTGTATCATATCGTGAGACTTATCTTTGCCTTTCAATTATTTCTCACGTTCAAATCAACAAATATGCAGAAATGTAGAACATAGAGATGTCTAACGATTAACTGACGAGTTCATGCTTCCTCTCAGTTAGTCTTATTAAAATCTCCTCCTTAATTCTCCAAGAATAATTAAAGAAGAATGAAATAAACGTGTGGAAAATAGAGGCGGTATAAGGTGGCGATATAACTAAAGATACAATATAAAGTTTAGGAAAAATAAGTTGAACATGCTTTTTTTTCAGACGTCTCTAATGTAGAACATATTCTGCACTTTCATATAATAATATCTAATTATACATATTTATAATACATATAATATACACAGCTTGCTTGCAAAGTTATTCATTAGGGAATAAAGAGTTTGAAATAAATGTGTATGTTACATGTAAAAATAAAAATAATGAGCACAAAGCTCAACAAACAAATCAATGTATTAGTTCAAACTGCAAGATATCTTTTGTTTTATATGATTCAATGTAAGACATAATAATACATCACGATTTATTTCTATTTAACTCAATTCATTTGAGATTTTTCTAAAATTTATAATCTTATCATACATTGAGTCATGAACATAGCTTATAATCATATTTATCACAGCGTATAATTAATATTATTAACACAACTGGATTCTTTTATTAGCCAGAACCATTTTTCGTATCATGTAGATGATGTACTTTCAGAACAAAGATGAGGTAATATTGTGTCAACTATGCGATATGATTTTATTAGAAAAAAATAAAAATAAAAATAAAAAAAAAAAATAATAAAATAAAGTAAATGAAAGGAAAGTAAATGAAAGGAAAGTAAATGAAAGGAAAGTAAATGAAAGGAAAGGGAAGGGAAGGGAAGGGAAGGAAAGGGAAGGAAAGGGAAGGAAAGGAAAGGAAAGGAAAGGAAAGGAAAGGAAAGGAAAGGAAAGGAAAGGAAAGGAAATGAAAGGAAAGGAAAGAAAAGAAAAAAAAAGAAAAGAAAAGAAAAGAAAAGAAAAGAAAAGAAAAGGAAAGGAAAGGAAAGAAAAAAAAAGAAAAGAAAAGAAAAGAAAAGAAAAGAAAAGAAAAGAAAAGGAAAGGAAAGAAAAGGAAAGGAAAGGAAAGGAAAGGAAAGGAAAGGAAAAGAAAGGAAAGGAAAGTAAAGATAATCAATAGAAATAAACATGTATACATAAAGGGAACTGACTTTACATAGTGTCAACACATGCTGCCAACATTTATAGATGCTTAAAATATAATAAATTTTTCCAAAATGTCAAAAGTCAATTAATTATTATATTATATTAGTACTTTCACACAAACAGAACATTTTGTACTGTTTTTCATTTTTCCTTTTGAATGAAAGTTGTGGACTGTATAAATATATTATTTTTTGAAGGCTTTTCCTTGACAAAAAAGCAAATTTATTATAAAACAAAACAAAAAAGTGTCTAACTTGCCCCTTTGTATAAGTTAAATAACGCTTTGCAAACGCATCATTGCAATACAGCATTTTCACTTGTATCGTCTATTTTTTTCTTTTTTTCTATCACTTCTGTCCGATGAACGTTTAATTTTTTCTTTGTCTTTTCTTTTCTTTCATAACCTTTTTTTCATAATTGTTAAATAATTTATATAACGGAGAAAGCTTCGAGTTCGCAATAAATAAGCAATGCTATAGTAAGAGTGAGAGAGAGTAGAATGAGTGAGAGAGAGAGAGAGAGAGAGAGAGAAAAAGAGAGAGACTGATAACGGTAAATTGCACACATGCAAATCCATTTGACCATTTGAACTTTTACCGTAATATCTCTTACACGATTATAATTGGGGAATAATTTAATTAAATTAATATCTCCTAGTGTATATATTTTTATCACGTCATGTTAACACCCAGTGCCTGTCTGAAATGCTCGTATACTACATAACTAATTGATACGGCTGGAGCTACCTAAAATAGGAAATATATACAATATATACAAATTTATAAAATAATGATAATATATGAACTATTTTATGATCTTCGTAAAAAACGTGTAATGAATAAGGATGTACCTTAAGAAAATTCGGAGTTATTCCTCGATACAAACCGCGAATACCTTCTCTTTTGAGAATGTCTTTGAAAACACCAATCATTGTATTCGCGTCACTCCCCGTTGATATTTCGGCTTGCAATTTAGTTCTGACTAGAGCTAACGGATACGAACACACTTGACCTGCAGTGCTTGAAGCCGTACCACATAACAAAAGTAACCAAAAAGCTGGTTGCTCGTCTTTCTTATGCGTTCGTAAATAACTATTTTTTAGTGTCTGTAAAGGAACATTGATATCATTATTACCATCAAACCCATGCCAAATAAAAAGTCTAACAAATAAAATAAGTCCTCCTATCGATAAAAAAATGTGCTTACTTCATACACAGCCAAATCAATTCCAGCATACGGAAGAATCCCTATTAAATTGGGAATGTAGCCTCTATAAAAAGATTTCCAACCACCTTGCTTATATATTTTTTTCGCTGCATCTATTATGCTCGAGAATTCCCCCGTTTTACGAAGAGCCAATCTCGTCTTGAGTACCTGGAAACATAATCATAAATAATTGTTTCAATTACTTATCATCATTTAGCAATTTGGATTAATGCAACATTACAAAAATTATAAAGAAAACAAATGTTGTTTCTGTACCTCTAGAGGATATATTGCCGACTGACTAATACCACCGGCCATAGATCCAGCCATGAATCTCTCATAGAGTCCAAGTTCTCTCGTGTCGTTGCCTTTGATAGCTCTCTTTATTTGTTCGTAGGCCATGAACTTTAGGGCAGTCTCTGGTCCGATTTTAAGTACATTTATACCATTCCCTCTCCACAAGCTTGTAATTCCACCTTCACGTAACATGTACCTGAAGCAGCTGGAAATGTTACAATGTCGCGTTCCATGAACCTGAAATAACAGGGATTTATCATTACATTTGATTTATAAGAAATGAGCATTACTTAAAAGGACACTTTGCTTGAAAATAATGTAAAAATAACGAGATATCCGAGTTACCTGCAGGTAAACTTTGATTCTATCCAAAGGTGCCGTGCATGTTCGTGAAACTCCACCAGCTATACCACCCGCTAACAAATGTCGCCACCACATTCCTGACACCATTTCACTATTCGTGAAATCGTCAGGAACTCCTATATCCTCTCCAATATCCATGTACTGTAAAATTCAAGAATCCGATAATCGAACATGTATGTATATATCTTAAATATATCTTTTTAATTATTTATAGCATGATAAATATTTAATGAATCAACTAAAATGATCATTTGCGATGGTCGTACACGGAAAATCATGTAAATCGTGAAGAAAAAATTTGTTAAATTACACACGACGATATGTTTTTTCTATTGTGTAGCAATGAAATTATGATAAGTGTTTTGGATTTCGTGATAACGCGATGTAGTTACGTTTATCGCACTAAGCGTATAAATTCGATTCTTGAAATCTCTCTTCATTTCTACTTCCATCCTGTTAAATATTTCTAAATTGCTAAGAGGCATAAACAAGCGACAGCTTCGATTAGACTTTGGTCAAGTAAATATTTTATCGTATCCATGTTCGAAATAGCAAAGAAATAGTAGTAGCTTATGCGGGATTTGACATTTACAAAGAGTTTCCTCATTTAAGTGATTAATAAACACTTTTAAAACCAACATAAATTTACGAATTTATCTACACACATAATATATTATTCTTTTTTTTATATTCGAATAAATTGACATTTTTATTTAGAAATTTTTACAAATTATTTATATGCGCAAAATAAGTTGGTTCGATAAATGTCCAGATGAATAGCTAGAATTCTGCAATTAGCGAGTAAGGAAAATGATTCCTTTTCCAATGTAAATACGAGGATTTGTCAAGTCTAGACGAGATGCAAATGTTTTAAACGATCTTCACTGTTGATCCAAGTGCACGCGCGCTTGCTTATGACCACGTGATTCGACTTCTTTTCCATGTACACGTCCACCCACACACAAATATTAGACTTATTTATTCATCTATCGTTTGCAATTAGCAAAAATCCTAAAGCTTACGATAAAATTTATTTCCTCTTGGATATAAAAGGAAATAAATGAGATAATTAACAAAAAATCATTTTACTTCCTAATCTTTCCTTATCAATCAATGAGAATACACACTCACAATCAATGGGGGTACTTAACTTTATGTAAAACTCGAGCAAAATATCGCTATCCAAATTATCAAGATTCTCCATACTGTCTTTCTTTTTCTTCTTTCCTCTTTTTGTTACTATTAGAAACGAAAGGGAATCAAATCTTCTGAGATTTGGAGTAGCTCAAAGTGCATTTAAAGGACGTCTGAAAAGAACGGAGCCCGGAAATCAAATCTTTCATGATGCTAATGGGCGAGTGGCCAAAAAAGAATTATTTGATGCTACGCCCAATGTCGGTTTGTATCTTCCTATTCAACTAACGTCCAATTCGTTTCTCTTTTTATATGTGTGTGTGTATATGTGTAAAATGTGTATATATTTTAAACACAAACACACACGCACGCACGCACATATATTATCTACCTATCTAGTCATCTATCTTTGCTAATATATCTATAGATCCTTTTTCACTCCTGATCATGAGACGCAACCCAAGAGATTATTTTAAATCAACTTGGCAAAAAAAAAAAAAAAAAGAAAAAAGAAAATATACGAATTAAAAATTGACTTTAAAGAATATAAGTCTTGCATACGATGAACAATGAATAAAAAGCTTGAAAGAAATCGTTTTTATCACATTCCAAAAAAAAAAAAACAAAAAAGAAAAAAAAAATAATAATAATAATAAACAAAAACAAAACAAAATCTAAATATGTAATAATATTTAAAGAAAATCGAGATGAAGTGTCGGATAACGATATTACCTGCCTATCAATAACCAAAGTATAATTTAATACGCATGTTAGCTATGGCTATCCGTACAGAATAATCTAGAAGTGATTGGTTAGTCTTGAATATGATAGCTATGCTTTTTAATATAAAAGAACAACGGTTAACAAACGTTGGAGAGTACTTGTAGAGAGAAACAACGGGAAGAAGAATCCGTTAAGGGGAAACAAAAAAAGAGTGGGGATAAGGATCAATTGACTCTGGACATTCCTGTCCTTAAGAAATGGAACATTGGCAATCTTATATTTGCAAGATCGTTCTTGACGGTGAACTTAAAAAAAAAACGGAAAAAAGAATTACACAGGTCCAGATCCACATATTTTGCATCTTGCCATTTGTTGTCACAATGTAATATATATATTAAAGATTTTTACATAATATTGATTTTTCTTTGCAATCTTCGATTGCTGGGAGAAAAAAGGGACCGAAGTACTTTTACTTTACTAAGAAAAACTTTCAGAATCATGTGCTTGTTCACGGAGATGTCGTACGTCGATCACAAAAAAAAAAATAATAAAATTAAAAAAAAGAAAAGAGGAGGAGAGAGGACACTATGAGGCTTTCACAGACTTCTACATTTACGCGACGCCATAGAAATTTTAATTCTTCGACAAATCGTTCTCACCTATCCAAGTATGCAAATACGTTACTATTATACAAAGCAGAAACACTCACTCGTTGTAAGAGCTCATGATAGCCTTGAAGAAATTCCTCGCAGACTTGACAGTTGGACGGTATACTCTCTTGTCTTAACATGACGAATCCCTTGCGATAATCTTTAGGTCTCATGTGAGAAAATCTTGTAATGAACGAAACGAAGAAAATGAACGAAAAAAAGTGAAATCCAAGTGTCGCACTTTTCTATTCTTTGTAAAGCTAGCTGCATTTAAATGAACATTAATTTACTCTTTTAATTTTTGATCCTACTCGTACAATTTTTTTTTTGTGCTGAATATAAATGATACATCCAGCATAGATCGATGGAGAGAAAACGACAAGTGTGAGTCCCGCCTGAAAATCCGACGAGCCAACAACTTAGAATATAATCTCGCGACTGGGGCTTAGTTACAGAATTGAAAGCTTTTCAGGGAAATTCCTACTCGCTCAATCGGTCATCCCTACTCTTTTCTACCAACTACCGACGTAGCCACTGGTACTAAAAGAGATTAAACAACGTCGCACATTTCCCTCGCCACTTATATCTACGAAAATGTTGGAATGAAATGCCATTTGGTCGGGTATTATAAGCGAGACAAACTTTGAGTTTCGTTTTTTCCCTAGACAGACGACGATTGGATCTAGCGACTCTAGTGGAATCGATGCGAACGATGTTAGCGGGAAATCAAGTCATTTATCCATCTACAAATGTTTTCAATTTATTACGTTGCAAGAGCATTCTTAAATCTTCTTACAAGAGTTTTCCACGACTGTGATCTGTAAAACAAAACGGAATTTACCGAATTATTTTCTTGTTTTCTAAAGTATTTCTAAAGAAAGTTCAATCCTTAAAAAAGTTGTCATTTTATTTCAGGTAGACTGTAATAAAATTAGATTAAACTTTACTCGCACCGTGTTCGTGGATGGTCATTAGCCATCTAACACAGCTGCATCTTTCCAGCTACCTGCAAGAAACAGATGTATATACACGATGTATATACATATTTTTATTAAATGTTCCTAAGCAAGACAAGGAAGAGTTTATATAACTCTCTTTAATATAAAGTTAACAAAGGATAAAATTCTCAATATTTTGGATAATAAGATAAAATATTGATTAGAATTTCCTATAGAACTGATAATTATGTTAGAGTAATATGCGAATACGGCACTTGCCGTCGGAGACGATGCAAAGTGATGACCTCGGCGGTTTTATAAACGACTGACGAAATGATAAGATTTCATCGCTCTATAAAGATATCGTTTCTATCTATTTTCTTACAATATAGAAAATTCGAATCGAATAATATTAAAAATTAGAAAATTCGATCTAAAATCATTATCATCAAGAAATTAACCAAAGAATGATCCGATTATTTTACGATGATCATTGATATTTAATCGATCATTAAAAGCATCGAATATTATTGCCTATTTCTACCTCCGTTTTAATTTCATTCATCGGACAATACGTTATAATTCTTTTTTCTTGAACAACATAACATAGAATCTTTTTAAGGATACATGTTATTGACGTGATATTCCGCATTAAGTCTATCGTCACGTCATTCCTATTAGACAATATTGTAGATTAATTGTATACGATTCGGACATTTTTTTCCTATAATGAAATGACCTTTGTCACCATTATTACTGGAAAAATAGAAGGACGACAACTGTTTTTAAAGATCATGTAATATTATCAACAATTTTTGATCATCGAGGCATTTTTTCTGATGAAAAGACGCGTATCGCTTCGCATTGAAAAATAAATGGCAATGAATTTTTATTTTTGGAACACGTTTTAATCAGCTGCGCTCAAAGTTCATGAACAATGCATGAAATCTTTTTCGAATCGTCTTGACATCCCGAACTAGTAATCCAATATTTTCAAAGAAACATTTGTTATAATTTTTTTCAAGCATAAAAAAATCAATATCGTGTTCTTGATCGTATAATACTAAAAGTTCAACGAACTCAAGTATACGAATTAATCGAAATGCTTAATAGACCCGATGAGAAAAAAGTAAGTATATGACACGTAAGGAAGGAAAGGAGAGAATTTTTGCGCAAATGCTGTGTATTCATCCATCGTGTGTGAAAAACGGTAAAGAGAAAGAGAAAGAGGGAGGGAGGAAGAAACAGCTGGAAATCACGAAGGTCATATTGAATGACGTTTATGTCACAGCCTCGGACGAGCCTTCTTCGTCGACGAATCAGCGGTTTAAATTGCGGACGATAGTGCTTCATGGTACACGTTAAACTCTATTCCCACTGCCACGTTGACTTTCCATTGGTTGAAACGACGATTATTATGTGTCGTCGACGTACGCGCGAACATGACGCTCTCGAAAGCGCTCTATCGATGAATCGTAATAATATACATATGTACAATGCAATTTATTTGCTTCTTCAATTTCGAAATACGAGATTGATCATTGGATACTTACAGTCGAATGTCGCCAATACTGTATAAGTTCATGGATGTTCGCGCTCGGTGCATACAACAGAAAATCTCGCCACTCATTGAAACTTATATTGAGGCTTCCATCTTTGTCCATTCTGTGAATTAATTGGAAAGAAAGGAAAGAAAAAAAAATTATTGAATCCAAAATTTCTCTATAAAGCGGATTATATTGTTGTAACATTAAGTTTGAAAAATCACTCAATATCTTACCGTTGTAATAACTTGGTTGCCTCACCGCGATCCATTTCTATTCCTAAGTCCTTAAATGCTCTTATCAACTCTTCAAGATCGATCTTACCTAAGAATAAAACGAATAATTACAAGGATCATTAAGGAATTTTGCTTTTAAAATAGCATATATTAGTTCAATAGTATAATTTCATTAATGGTATTTTATATATCGACTTTCAAATAAATCAAAGCATTGGGTATATTTGATAAAAAATCATTTAACGATCGAGCAAGTATCTAGAAATTAATGTTTACCAATAAAACAATCTTTTCTTTCGCAAGGGAATTGCAGATTGATAAAATAAGAAGGAAAAACCCATAAAAGGAAATAAACGATTGGTGAAATTTTGAGAATATATATATTGTTTTAAACAACGATTATTAAAACAAAAAAGATTGTTATGTAAATATAAATAATTATATAAGTTTTTAAACGCTAATATATGATCGATCACGTAATAAACTTACCATCTCTATTCTTATCAAGATCAGAAAATTGAAGACGAAGATTTTTCTCATGTTCGCGAACATAATGTAAAAATTCTGCCAAGCTGATGTCACCACTTTTTGTACTATCCGATCTAGCAAGAAATTTCTAAAAGGAAAAAATAACCATATATGTACATATATCATCTATACAACGTAAATTAAAAGAAAATACTTTTTTATGCCGATATGGAAGTAGCAGAATAGGACTATTTTCTTCAAAATACTTGTCTATGATTTACCTGAGAGACCGACAACTCGTATTTTTTCAAAACATAAGATTAATCAGTTGAGTAAAACTTTTGGTTATATGCGACTCTGACACATTGACATAATAGTAGAAAGATTAATTCTTATTTTATCTTTCCTCGGTAAAACCATACAAATAGAATATTACATAAAATGCTAGACTATCGAGTATATCTACATTGTATATTGTAAATGTATGTACAACAAACACGTACTCATATTCATACGTGTGCGTGTCAAAAGACGCGCTTGACCTACTTCCCTTGCGATGCAGTTACGATAAGGAAATAATGCCGGTATTAAGGAAAATGCAAGCTGGATGATATTAAATAAATATTATCAAATAGATGAGGATAAAGTAACGTTTATAGACTCGTGGAAAGTCAACAAAATTGTTGATTTGAATTCAGATTGAAAAAAAAAACGATTACCTCAGCATATTGCTTGTGTACGCCGACCTCGTGAAGTGCTTTGGAAAGATCGTGTACGTCGATTCTGCCGTTTCCATCAAGATCGAGCTTTTGGAATATTTTTTCGAGCCGTTCCTCGTCTTGTGCCGGCAGCTCGTGGAGGTAGTGCGGTGGCATAACACCATGCACCATGCCTCCACGAGACGCGGGCATTTTTCCGTTTACACGATTATTCATACGACATTCATACGACAATTACACTTCTCATACGAACTTCGTTCGTGTCGAAAATGTTTCTTTGATATTTCCGATTAGAAAATGGCTTGCTTATGAAAAAGCAAAAACGCAAAAACGTTCCTCGTGTTTACGACGACAAGGATGACAATACTTGTGTACTTGATATAGTCGTGTATGAATCGTGGCATTGCATGCAATCTCACACGCACTTACATACAAGATCACATTTGGCACGCACCCTCTCTCTCTCTCTCTCTTTCTCTCTCTCTCTCTCTAACATGCACGTTTCGTACGAACGATTAGATTTCTTTTATTCGTATTACACGAAGAACAAGGCGTACGTTCTCTCCTCCTCTGCGAGTCTCAGTTGCGCGACATCCGCACTGCGGCGACCGGTACCTTCCTTCTTTTCCTGCCAAATCGAGGGGAGTCGGGAGGTGGGGGAAGACAGCTAAACTAAAACCTTTCCAACGTTTTTTTCTCTTTTCACGATGTAGAATATACTCCACACCTAACTCTTCTCAGGCGCTCTTTCTCAAATAGCATCCTCTTGTCAGAAATCCAGACGCAATGAAGATGTAATCCAGATGCAACTACGTCGCCGTACTCTTAATCTCTTTCCTTCAGAATTTAGGCGTCGATCGAACGAATACAAATGATGGTCTTAGCGCCACTTGCCAACGATTCGATCAATCAGTAATTATACGTTCTTCATGATTATCAATCGAATGTTAGTTTTGCCCGAAAGTGGCGTTATCAGCGCCACTTTTTCTTCAAGTTTTACAATTGCGAATGTTCTCCTTAACAGTCGATAATGTATGTTCTTCTTAAAACGCGATGGCCATTGGTTTATTAAATGGTTCGATCTGCGACGGCTCTGCTCGAAAGCCAATAAGAGAGGTTATCTAATGGCGCGATGTTTGTCGCAATAGTACTGTTAATCACAAAAATTCATTATTATTACAAATGGTTCCTTTGTTTTTCTTCCGTGATACTATTAAAATTGAGATTTCTTTATTTCTCTTAAAAATGAACTTACTCTTGAACATTATCTTTTAAATTTTCCGCGACTTAACTGTGATATAAGTGGAATATTTGTGAGATCCGTGTAAAGGAATATAACTTAAAATACAACCATTAGCTCACTTTATTTCCTAGATTTAAATTTGACATATTTTTATAACGCAAGGAATATCGATCGTTCGGATCTATCTAAATCGTTTTGTTTTATATCATTGAAAATGCTTTGATTTACTTATAAGGCGCGATTAGAAAACGTGTTTTAAGAAAACAATTAAAGTATTGGATAAGAGTGGACATAAAAAAGAATATATTAATTATCTATTAAAATATGCTAATTACACGTCAAGCTTACTATTAAACGAAAAAAGTCAGTTGAACAATTCCCGAAAAATACGTTTAAATCGCCAACGTTGAAACAAACCGACAAAATAGATACAATCACTTTTTCATCTATTATAACAAAATAACAAGTAATAAAATATATCAAGGTATATGTATAAACGAGTGTATTTTATCTACTAAATCATGAATAAATATAATTGTTTTCTAACCATACATTTTATTTTTTAAAATATCTACAAAACATATGCCGATTTTTTCAAATCATATGTAATCTTCTAATTACGCAACAAATATAAAATTAATAAACGAAAAAAATAATAGAAATTCTCAATATTTATTATATGGAACATTAAGAAATATTCTGACAAAATGAAATTTTATTAAATTTTTTAGAAAAATTCAGTGTTTCGCAGATTATCAAGAATAATATAAAAACGCAGAAGTTAATAAGCAATAGTTGATGATTAAAAAATATGTTATTACAAGATTACAGTGTATGTGTATGTATGAATATTTACAAGTCCGTCAATTTCTCGTGAAATATCTCAAATTTCTAATAGGAACGCAGAACCATAATGGTGGTCGATCGCTAACTCAGATATTATTGGCTGCCACGCTAGATGGCATAAACCGCACCGTTAAATTTGTTCAGTATAGAAATATTATCTGCATTGATAAAGTAAGAATAATAATAAAAATTGACACATTTAAATATTCCTTAAGTTCTACAGATTCGTTGGAATAATATGATATCATAAAAGTTTATAATTGTACCTAATAATTAACTATTTTATAAATAATCATCGGGACGTATTAACTTAGATACATATCACTGATTAAGATATAATTTATTTAATTTCCAAGAATAAATCGTAAATATTTAGATGCTAGAAATGTTCTATGGACTCTCAGGAATCATATAAGCCCATAAAAGTTAATAAAGAAGTCTTAATAATAGAGAAAATAATTATCAAAGTTTAACGTATATATCAACATCTTCTGTATACTCTGTGTATATATGTATACAAATACACACATACATATACACATACACAAAAGCACGTATTACACACGCATAACAGCTAAAATTAGATATCATATTGCCGCAAAAATTTCAGATTCTTAATAGGAACATAGGACGATAGTGGAGGTTGATCTCTAAATGAAATGCTATTGGCTGTCACACTATATGGAAAAAATCCCAGCGCCAAATTTGAACTAGTGTCGTGAGAATAGCTACATTCATGAATAATAATGTGGTTACTAATGTCATTATTAATTTTTATATAATGTCACAATTAGTTAATATAAACTTTCCGATTATTTTATATCATTTTAAATACGATATAGACTATTTTTAGCAATTAAATGTTTTATATATTGCCTATTTTACCTTCTATGATCATCTATTTGTCAGATATTAAAGATATTAAATATAATGTCATAATAAAGAATCATTAAAATATTTTATAATTATTTTCTGTAGCATTTCATTTAATGTTATTATTTTCTAGTTCCCCTGTGTGATAGTTTTCCTATGACTAATCTCTAAGTATCTGTTAATGAAACCAGCTTTCAAGTTAAAGGAATTTAATTGGGTATAAAATGAAATTACGTTTTACTATTGATATTTCAAAATTTTAGAAACTTTAAATCTTATTGTTTTAAATAATATTTTTATGTCGCGGATCTCCTGAGCTATTAAATTTACGTAACAGTTAGAAAATGTCCTTATTGTCGTATCCTGTGACCATTAAGTACATGACATACTTTGTCAGAAATTTTGCATCGTTTTGCATATTACTTGCATATATTGTTACAAGAAATTTACACAATTTAATTTACACAATCTCCAGGAATAAATTATAAACATTTAAATGCTTGAAATTTTCTATAGACTCGTATTATTTTATAGACTCATATTATTTGGAATAATAATCAAGTCGTGTCCTTGATAATTTTGACACATAACCGTCCATTGATAGATACAACATTATGATATATGAAAAAAAGTTCGAAACATTTCTTTTATTTTCGTTCAATATTATTTTTCTTTGTCTACTACCTTATGATTTTAATATATTTATTTTCAACTGTTTCTTATTCATAATCAGTCGAAACTAATTATCTTTACTATTATAATATAAAATGTATTAAATAATATCTAGATATATATAAATAATATTTAGGTACATTTTTATTATTATTATATTATATTATATTACATTATATTATATTATTATTATTATTAGTAATAGTAATAGTAATAGTAATTAGTAATAGTAATAGTAGCATATTATTATTAGTAGTAATAGTCGAAGTCGTATAGAGTGGACTAGTCCTACAGAGGCAATCACGTAAAAAAAAAGCACTGAGAGTTCTACTTCTTCGGTAGTATGGAAATGAACTCGTTTTAATTTGTATTAAAATTATACAATATATAAGTATTCACTAATAATTTTTAAGAAAATATTCGACAAATTCTTATTTTTTGTTGCAGATTTATATACTAATTCTTATATGTGTCAATTATATTTATTATTTTCTATGCACTTATCGTAAAATAAATGCCTACAGACATTATATCTAACAGGGCTCACTACGAGATGCATGCTATCATCAAAGAAAGATACTCTTATGAGAGATTGAAAAGTGTGAGTTCACAGTTTACTAAACTTCTTACTCTGCTCACACGAAACTGATTGTTATGACATGTAAGAGAGGAAGACTAACGCAAGCTTACGCACCGATAGATAGTAGTACGATGAGGCTAGCGTTCTCCTTTGTTCTCGTTTGTCTTATAGTTCATATTTTGTCATACCTATGCTGAAGCACACATGCTTTGAACAAAAGGTAGTGAACGAGTTTAATAGAAAGACCGTTTATGTTTATATGTCACAAGGCCAACTACTCCGAAATTATAATTTTTAAGTATTGGAATTTTATGTTAAAGTTATTTATCTCGCGCATTTCCGTCCTTTTTATATTTAACGAATGTACTATTGTTTAAATATTTTATAATAATTATTGTATATTAATATTATATTATACTCTTATATATATATATATATATATATATAGACAATTTATATTATAAAATAAAACTTCTATAATTATGAAGTATAATGTATTTTTTTAAATAGTCAGTATGTATATTTATAATATATATACTTTAGGCTGTTTAAAATTGGTCGAGATATTGTCGCAAAAATGCATGTTTTATAACAGGACCACATGATAATAGTGGAGGTTTTTGTACAAAAAGCGGGAGAATATAATTCAGGCTGTAACATTAGATGACGCCAGAGACATAAAAGGTTAGTTAAAATAATTATTTAGTACCAGTCTTTGCACTAGATGGCTCTAGGGATATTAAAGATTTCTTACAATAATTATTTAGTACCAGTTCACACGTTAGATGGCGATAGAAATATAAAAGATTTTTAAAAATAATTATTTGTTATCGGTTTTCATGGTAGATGTCACTAGTAGTTCGTAACCAATTTTAATAGCCAATAGCATCTGATTTAGCGATCGATCTCTACTCTCTTTCTGTGCATATCAGAAATTTGAGATTTTAGTGAGAAATTGACGGCTAATTGTATATATACATATACATATAGATAAAGATATACAGAATGTTTATATATAGGATATATTTAAATAATTTATTCCTCAATTATTAATAATTCTTGATAACTTTCATATATATATATATATATATATATATATATATATAATATTATATTATTCTTGATTTCATATTATTCCTGAGCCTATAAAATAATACGAGTCTATAGAAAATTTCAAGCATTTAAATGTTTATAATTTATTCCTGGAGATTGTGTAAATTAAATTGTGTAAATTTCTTGTAACAATATATGCAAGTAATATGCAAAACGATGCAAAATTTCTGACAAAGTATGTCATGTACTTAATGGTCACAGGATACGACAATAAGGACATTTTCTAACTGTTACGTAAATTTAATAGCTCAGGAGATCCGCGACATAAAAATATTATTTAAAACAATAAGATTTAAAGTTTCTAAAATTTTGAAATATCAATAGTAAAACGTAATTTCATTTTATACCCAATTAAATTCCTTTAACTTGAAAGCTGGTTTCATTAACAGATACTTAGAGATTAGTCATAGGAAAACTATCACACAGGGGAACTAGAAAATAATAACATTAAATGAAATGCTACAGAAAATAATTATAAAATATTTTAATGATTCTTTATTATGACATTATATTTAATATCTTTAATATCTGACAAATAGATGATCATAGAAGGTAAAATAGGCAATATATAAAACATTTAATTGCTAAAAATAGTCTATATCGTATTTAAAATGATATAAAATAATCGGAAAGTTTATATTAACTAATT